GGGCCTTCGATGTCGTCCTCGAAGCCCTTGTCATTCTCGTCATCGTTGACCCCCAGTCCCCACGTGGAACAGGGACCTGAGTGTGCGGGCAGGGCATCTGACCACGATGGCATCACCTGCGGGTAGAGGAAGCCCAAGGAACTGGAGGAGGGCAGGGCTGGCCTGCGGCTGCCTTGGTGTCCCCCAGAACAGTGATGGCAAAAGCGGATGGAGATGTGGGCGAGTGGCCGTTCAGGACCTCGGGGCTGTGGGCAGTGGGGCTACAGGAGGCTCCCACTTCCCCCTGGTGTGGCTCTTCCAGAGCCTCCCTCCAGTGTCCCCCCAGTGTACCCCTCTAGTGCCCCCAGCCCCTCCCCGGCATCCACAGTGCCCCCAGCCCACATGGCCTATGCAGATGTTCCCCACACCCAGGGGCAGGCTGGGGCTCGGGGCCTGCGCAGTGGCACCTGGCTCTTGTCCTGGAGATGCCCACAGGGACAGGAGCTTGGCTCAGTAGGGCCCTGGGGCCCTCTGGTGTTTCCTGTGTACCGTGTGTCTCCCCCAGGCCCAGGTGAGTGCCGGGGAGAAGGGGTTTGTCTGCGCCGCAGTGCAGGGAGCACTAGGCCAGTGCCTGAGGCAGGGCTGAGGCCTCAGTGGGCTGGGGGGGCATAGAGCAGGGCCTGGAGCCCTGAGCCGGGGGGGGGCCGGGGTGGGCACCGCTCGGCAGCCTCAACACTGAGCTTGGCCCGCCCTGGTTTCTCAGGCACCACAGAGGCCCCCAGCCACCACCACTCGTGATGGGTTTTCCAGAAAACAAGATGTGGAAAAACATTTTAGAGATTTTCCTTCTTTCCCCCTCTGCTTGAAGCCTGGCTGAGGAGCATCCCTGGCACCCTGGGCCCATCTTGTGCCCAGGTCCCCATCCCTGGGCCTGTCTCCGGCCCACCTTCCTCCCCAGCACTGCTGCGTCTTGAGCCCCTGCAGCCCTGTTTCTGCCAGTGGCACTGACTCCCTCAGGTCAGCCACCAGGAAGTCCCGACATGGGTCTAACTAGAGCTCCTCGTGGCACAGCCGCTGCCGTGCCAGAGCTTGTGCGTGACCCGGCAGTGGGAGTCTGGCAGCCTCTTGCGGCCTCGCAGCCGGCTGTGGTCCGTGCAGAGGTGGAGCGCCTTGGCCTGTGCTGGGAGACACCTCGTGTCCCTTTCCTTTTTGGAAAGCAGACATGACTGTCCTAAATTGTTTTTTAAGTGAGGCTCTCTCAGATGTTGCTCGTATTAATGGTGTCGGTGGGGCCTGGGGTGTGCTGCCTTCCCCAGGCTGCCAGGCGAGAGCCCCCAGCCGCCTGGTGGGACCTGCCCTTGTCACGCATGGCACAGCTCCTGTAGCCTTCAGCCGCCGGCGCTGCATCCCCTGTGCCTGGGGCTGTGCTGGGTGCCGGGAAGTCTTCTGGGAGCTTCATGGAATGGATCAATAAGGATGACCTCAAAGAATTTATTCGTGGAATGTCCACCGACCGTTAAGGATCCGGGACTCTGAGAGCCACGCAGTGGCGTCCAGCTCGCGCAACAGCACCGAATACTTCAGGCCAACGGGCTGGTTGACGCCACCATGGACAGGTCTGCCGGGGTCCCCTTAGGAACTGGACCTCTGTGGCTGCCAGATGGCTGCCCCTCCACAGCTCCCGGACGCACACGCAAGTGCCAGTTTGGCTCCCCATGGCAGCCGCCGGATGGGAAGGAAGGGGCCTTTGTCCCCCATGTGGGAGGGGACAGGAATCAAGGCTCCATTGGTGAGTGAGAGGAGGGGACCCTGCCAGCAGGTCCCACCCCCGTGCCCCCTGGCCCCCAAAGGCCTCTCTGCTCCTGGTGTTCCTGGAACCCACGCTCTGGCCATGGCCCCCGTCCCACAGCCCTTGGGGGGAGGGGACCTGAGTGCACACACATACCTGTCTCCAGACGGGAAACCCAGACGCTCCAGGAGTCTGTGCCTTGTCAGGGGGCCTAGCACGGTGGGCCAGGCAGGGCTCTGGCCTTCAGCCCACTGCCAGTGGACAGGCCACTTCTTGGGAGGAGCAGCCTTGCTGCCCTGACCTCTGTCAGGGTGGCCCCAGTTCCCCTGGCCCTCCCCCTTGCCTTCTGCTTCCCTTGGAAAACTCTGCTCCAGGCCCCTTGGGCAGCCTGTCTGCTCCCTCTTGCACGGAAGCTCCCGCAACCCATTCCTCCTGTTCCAGTGGCAGAGTGAGAGTGGAACATCGCGGGACCTGCCTGATCTCGGGCATGGGGTTGTTCCTGTGCGCGTGCTGCTGGCACTTCTGTGGGACACTGCAGGGTGTGGGGCTGCATTTTGCACCGGCCCCCCCTGCCTGTGCACCAGCCGGGCCGCACCGGCCTGAAGGCCAGGATTCTCTGCCGCTGGGACAAGAGGGCCAGGGGAGGAGAATCTGTGGCTGTCATCGGGAGTGGCTCCACTGTTCCCAAAGCCATTGGCTTGCAGGGCGAGGGTGGTGTGGCTGGGTGAGGGGCACCTGCACTGCCATTTTGTACTTCCTGCTAAAGTAGAACTTGTCAGTTTGGGTGTCCTATGCCCCCACCTGGTCGGGCCCTTTTCCTGGTCTTGGCAGGAGCTGTGGCCTCTAGCCCCACGGGACCCCGGCCAGTCTGGCAGAGATCTCTCTGCCCGGAGCATCCCAGCCCCACTCAACCTGCCTGTCTGGTCCTGTTTGAGGTCACCCTGGTAGCCCCTCTTGCAGTAGCCCCTGCGTCCCTCTTGCCCGCCTACCTCCTGTGCCTTCTGACTGAGGCCTCAGGTGTGGGGCTGCCCATGGCCTGCCGCCGCCCAGGCAGGCTGAGGCCCGTGGAGGGTGATGTCCCCCTACCGTCTGGTCCATGCAGCAGTGGTGGCTGACCCGCCGCATGGAGGAGAGACCAGTCTCCCAGGAGTGAGCTACCTGTGTCCTTAGTGGGGGCCGGAGGGGAAACTGAGCCCCTCGGATCCGGCCCCCATGCAGGTCATCTGTAGACTGGGGGTGGCCCCCCGGCATGGGGAGCCCGAACAGCAGCAGTCTGGCTGAGACCCAGCTCTCAGCTCCCAGCCCTTGACAGAGAGCCAGGATTCAAACACCCGTCGCCCTGAGGCCTGGGGTGGCCCGCGGGTCTCCAGGGAGGAGCAGCGGTCAGGAGCTGGAGTGGGGCTCTTTTCCTGAGCCTGGCTCCCTGTGCTCCTGGCTGAGTCCTCGGGGCCTGTGTGTGGATGCCACAGTCTGGCTGGCCCGCAGCACCCCGGTCTCCAGGAGGACCTTGATTTTACAGCCGCCTGTTCTTATGAAGCTCCCGCTGTGTTTGGGGCATACTGAAGAAAGGACCCATTCCAGAGGGTGACTGATGTGAACTGGGCTCGAGGACACTCCCACACTGGCACTGGCGCTTGGGCAGGTGCCCAAGAATAGGGGTCTAGACCTGCTGTGGCCGGGCCAGTGATGGGGGTCTGGGTGTTTGAGGAGCTGGGTCGGCAGGACCTGGAGATGACAGGACTTCTCCTGGCCTCTGTGCGACTGGGTGGGCAGTGCGGGAAGAGCAGGGCTGGTGAGAGGTGCTCCGGGGACATGAGAGGGTGAGCAGAGGCTCCTTAGGTGGGAGGCCCAGGCCTCATCAGTCTGGAGGCCAAGGCAGGGAGTCTGCGGGGGCTGGGGGAGCCCAGGGAGGGCGCAAGGAGGATGGAGCAGGCAGCTGGCTGGGGCCTGCAGAGTCAGGGTGGGCCACGGTCCCGTCCCGAGAGGGGATGGACAGAGGGGCCGGGTCCCCGGCCTGCTTGCCAGAAGGAAGGTGGAGTGGCCGATGCGTGCGTGCTCTGAAGCTCCCGGAGGGGTGGTGGCATGCTGACCGGGAGGGCCAGGCGCTCACCGCCTGTCGCCAGCGCCGCGGGGTTCTGAATGCCTGGGATGGGCGGGTCAACAGCACTGTTGGACTTCTGTTCCCGTCCGTGTCTCAGGTGTTTCCCACACACTTGGGATGCCTGCTTTCTTTTTTTGGTCACCGCCTCTTGTTTTTAGCCTTTTTTTTTCCTAGTAGAGCTGGCTTTTCCTGTGATTTGTCAGCAGTGTGAGTCAAGGGGGTTGTGGGCCTTAGTCTGTCAGCTAAAGTGCCGGCACTTGTTCCCAGACAGTAGCTTGTTTTGTGATTTTTATATTTTTCGTGGAGGTTGCATTTTTTTATGTACTTGGATATTCTTGTTTTTGATGTTTTATTTCTGCTCATGTTTTCGTGCTTTGGAAATGAGCCTGTTCTGATTCTTCTGGTGTGATTGGCTCTGCAGTGTGGGCACATTTGACTCTGAGCCTCCTGGGGTTTACTGAGATCCAGCTCCTGGTCGTTTGTGTCCCTGACACATAATCCCGTCTGTCTTTGTGTGGTTCTTGCAGGTCAGAGTCTGTTCTAGGAGGTCCCTCTGCTTCCTCACCCTCCCTTCTGCGCTGACATCTTTAGCACGATTTAGTGTAACCCATATTCCAGCCTTTCCTGATGATTCTCACCCAGTTATGCTTCCTGTGTGTTACGTTCGTATCTAGGGCTCTTACCGGGGTGGTGTGAACCTTGAGGTTCAATATGCGCTGTCGCCATCGCTATGATACGGGGTCTCCCACCCCCTCCCCGCTTACCTGGTCTTTGTACCCACTGCGTCTCCGGGGCCTGGGTCTGAGCTCCTGGGCTGCCGTGGTGGTTTGTGAGCCCTGTGTGGAGGGGAGTGGAGTCTGCGCTCCGTGGTGTCCGTTAACCCTGCTGGCCCAGGGGGCAAGGCACTGTGGGGCAGTGGGGAATGGTGGGTGTGAGGGGCCCCACCTCTCTCCTGCCTCAGTTTCCCCATGTGAGAGCTCATTTGGATCCTCCATTTGGCCTTGGTTATAGGGAGCTGAGAGAGTGGGAGGGTGCACGTTAGGGGTGTTGGTGAGCTTCTGGGGTGGGCCTGGGTTGGCTTCGTGCTGTCCCCAGGGCTCCAGTGCTGACCGGCAGCCACTCTGCTCCCAGGGACATCTCCCACAACCTGCTCCAGGTGCTGGACGCCGGGCTCCTGGCCAAGCTCTCGGCGCTGACGCAGCTGTGAGTGTCCCCTCCATGGGGTCTTGGATTCTACAGGGTGGGCAAGTGGCAGCTGCCTGTCACTGTTGCAGTTATGGGGGCTCCTCTCAGACCCTGCCGAATCCCCCCTTTCTTCCAGGGACATAATCAACAATAAGATTTCTACATTAGAAGAAGGAATATTTGCTAATTTATTTAATTTAAGTGAAATGTAAGTTGGGTTGTTTTTGGTGGGTGTCAGTGGCTGGGTCTGGCCCCCCCAGCCCCCTGGTCTTCTGCTCCGGCCTCCACACCTGCTCCCCAGTTTAGGGCCAGACCTTGGTGCTACCATGGGGGTGGTGGGATGCCGCACAGGTCACCCAGCTGCTCCTGGGGGGCCCTGACCTTGTGGGGGGCGAGGCAGACCCTTCCTTGAGGCCCCCACCCCTGCCCAGCAGTCTGCTGAGCGCCTGGCCCGGCCCCTCCCACAGAAACCTGGGCGGGAATCCGCTAGAGTGTGACTGCGGCCTGGTGTGGCTGCCCCGCTGGGCGGCTGAGCAGCAGGTGCGCGTGCTGCGGCCTGAGGCAGCCACGTGTGCTGGGCCCGGCCCCCTGGCTGGCCGGCCCCTCCTGGGCGTCCCCTTGTCAGACAGCCTCTGCGGTGAGTGCAGGTGGGACCCAGGTGCCTGGGGTCGCCAGCCTGGGGCAGGGAGGCGAGGACGTGGGGACAGGTGCACCTGGGGAATAAGGACAGGGGCCGACTGCCCAGGTGGGGGTCAGGAAGGCCTTCTGGGTGGCAGAAGTCAGGGGCGGTGCCAAGTGGCATGCAGCTGGTGGAGGGTCAGGTAGGGGTGTGTGGCCTGCAAATGGGGCAGAAAACAGTGGGATGGGCGCAGCACAGGACTGGCTCGTCTGCCCCTCCAGGTGAGGAGTATGTTGCCTGCCTCCCCAGCAACAGCTCTGGTGGTGCCCTGACCCTGGTGGCCTTCAGAACTGCCCGTGAGGGCCCTCTGGCGCCCAAGGCCTGCAGTGCCTTCTGCTTCGCAGCTGGCCAGGGCCTCGCGGCCCTCTCAGAGCAGGGCCAGTGCCTGTGCGGGACGGCCCAGCCCCCCAACGCCTCCTCAGCCTGCCTGCCCTTCTGCTCCAGCCCCCCGCTGCGCCCTGCTCCTGCCTGTGGGGGCCCCACTCTCCTCCAGAACATCTTCCCTGCCTCCCCAGGGGCCACCCTGCTGGGGCCCCAAGGACCCCTGGCCTCCGGCCAGCCAGCAACCTTCCACATCACTGCTTCACTGCCCATCAGCTCCACACACTGGGACTTTGGTGACGGCTCCCCCGAGGTGGACGTGGCCGGTCCGTCCGCCACCCACCGCTATGTGCTGCCCGGACGCTATCACGTGACTGCTGTGCTGGCCCAGGGGGCTGGCTCAGCTTGGCTTGGGGTGGACGTGAAGGTGGAGGCAGCGCCTGCCGCCCTGGAGCTCGTGTGTCTGGTCTCGGTGCGGAGTGAGGAGACCTTCGAGCTCAGTGTCCGAAATCGTGGCGGCTCAGACCTGGACGCCACCTACAGCATCATGACCCTGGGCGACGAGCCGGCCCAAGGTGGGGGCCTCCCCACTTCCAGGCCCAGCATTGGCAGAGGGGGGGGCAGGGTCCTGGTTGGGCACCCACATTGATGCCCCTATCTCTCTGCCAACCCCAAAGTGGTGCATCCGCTCTGCCCCTTGGACACCGAGATCTTCCCTGGTAATGGGCACTGCTACCGGCTGGTGGCAGAGAAGGCAGCCTGGCTGCAGGCGCAGGAGCAGTGCCAAGCCTGGGCCGGGGCCGCCCTGGCCATGGTGGACAGTCCTGCCATCCAGCACTTCCTGGTCTCCCAGGTCACCAGGTATCCTGCGCCCACCCTCCAAGAGGCTGGGCGTCCGGGCCCCGGAACACTGTGTGGGGCCGAGCCCGAGGCCTGAGGAGGGCCAGGAGGAGAGGAGGGGAGGGGGTGCTGTGTGCAGCTGGCCAGCCTGTCTCCTGGACCTGAGGTGAAGGGCCGTGTCGTGCCCAGCTGACGGCTGTTCCCATCAGCCTCTGGACACAGATGTGGGTGCAGGGGGTGGTCTGTGCCTGCTGCAGGAGGTGCCTCCAGACCTGTATCCTGTTGCCTGCCTGTCCTGTGTTGGGGCCCTCCTGGCAGGGGTGGGATGGTTCTGGTGACCTGGGTGGGCGGTGCCGCTGTGCACAAGGAGCCTCGTGGATGTTCTTGTCACCCCAGGCCTGTGGGCAAGCGGGCTTCCCTGTCGTGGGCATTAGGGGCCACTCTGCCTGGCCTCATTCGGCCCTCAGCACCTGCTGTGGCTGGTGGGGCTGGAGGTCAGAGCCCCACCTCTCCCAGGAACCCTGTATGGGAGGGAGAGGGCTGACTGGACCACGGATCACACCATGGGCATCCTCAGGGTCCAGAAGGGGAGACCGAGGCCCCGAGTCCTCCAGGCCGTGGCTGCGTTCACTCCACATCAGCTCTGAGCACATCACCTCCTCCCCCGTCCCTGCCCAAGCGTCTACAAGCCCTGCCTCCAGAATGGTCTGCCTGTCCTGGCAGAGCTGTGGGGAATAGCCCATTTGGGGTTTATATGCAGGTGTCTTGGCCCCCAAATGCCATCCCTCTGATGTGCACGGGTCTGTGTGGCCCTCGGCCGCTGAGGCTATGTGGGCGTGCGTGGCAGGGTGGGGACTGCGTGGGCCTTGCCTGCCAGGGCATGTCTCTGGGCCTCATCTGGAGAGCAGGGGCAGGGACAGGGCCCAGCAGATGGGCTGCTGTGAGGAGCCTGTGCTTGGAGAGAAGGCAGACTAAGGGGCACCTGTCTTCAGGAAGCCCCCTGAACACACGCACCCCACCATCTGCTTCAGGAGCCTGGATGTGTGGATTGGTTTCTCTGCTGTGGAGGGAACGGTGGCAGGCGTGCCCCTGGCTGAGGCCTTCAGCCTGGAGAGCTGCCAGAACTGGCTTCCTGGGGAGCCACACCCCTCCTCGGCTGAGCGCTGCGTGAGGCTCGGGCCCGCCGGCCAGTGCAACACGGACCTGTGCTCCGCGCCGCATAGCTACGTGTGTGAGCTGCAGCCTGGAGGTGCGCTGGGGCCACTGCCAGGCGGGGAGCCCTCCTGCCCTGGCCTCATGGTCCCCTGTGTTCCTCAGCTGAGCGCCTGCTGTTGTCGAGCTGAGCCTTCCCCTGATGAAACAAAGATGGAGGGAGCTGGGGGTGCTTCCGGGGGCTCAGTCCCAGGCCAGCTCGTCCCACACTGCACACTCGCCCCCGCCAGGCCCAGTGTGGGACGCGGAGAACTTCCTTATGGGAGCGCCCGCTGGGGACCTGCA